TATATATATATATTTAAAGGAAACCTGTACTCTTTGGTGAAGGTGGAGCAAAAAAAGAGACGTTCATTGTTAAGGTTTACATACACTTTAACCTGACCCTAAAAATAATACAACCTCTTCCAATGCTCACATTTGAACCCTTTAGGAATTCTTTAGGAAGTAGTAGAGGGATCTTCCTGGTTGTGCAGTGTGGACATGATACAAAGCAGTGGTAGGCAGCCTTGTAGAACTAAATCCCATTGGGCATAGTGGAATATGAAGTTTCACCACAGCTGCAGTGCCAAGGTTGCCTACCCCCGATGTAGAGGCTCCCATTGCTGACTTTTCTGGTTGTCTGACTTCCATGTTGATCCAACTGGCTTTAATACTTTTTGATTCATTGACCTGGGACCAGTATGCAGATCAGGATCAGTATCGCAGAAGCAGTCAGAAACAGGAGTCAGTAACTCAGAAAGTATCAAAGCCAGAGGCAGCCAACCAGCATACCTAGAGGTGAGCAATGAAAGCCTCCACATTTCTCTAACTCCACTGGCTTCTGATGCAGTGTCTGGTGGATTGAAGTTCTCAGCCAGAGACTTGTAGAATTTCACTCACCTCCTCGAAGAGGTCCAGGCTGTAAGTGTTGTCGTCATCTGCAAAATACACCACTCCGGGCAAACTGATGTTTTTGTTAAATGTCTCTCTGAGCCACCGTAAGGCCAGGTTTCTCTGCATAGTCCCGCGGGGTATTCTGGGGTCCCTGGTGTCCCCTCTTAGTTTATAATTACGTGGCGTCTCCACGTTAAGGTGGGTGTAATTGAGACCAGAGTCTTGCAGCATCCGGGTGACCAGAGGGGTGCGCCGCTGAGAGTCCTCCACCAGGATCCAGTGCAGGTTGGGGACATGCAGTAACGTGTTGGCTAGACGGGTCAGTTCGGCCTTCTGAACCGGTCTGCTGTAGGTGGGGGTGATGACGTGGATGGTTGGGAGGTTACCCATCCAAGGTGGGGGCCGTGTATATACATACTCAGTCCTGACAACTTCTACGATATCCCTCTCCGAAGAACAATATTCCCTGGAATCTGAGCCTGGATTGGCATCCCTCCGGCCATCACTCCCGTCCTCTGGAACAGACAAAAGCACAATTATCCTAGAAAAATACAATCCTGCTGTATTAATGGGGGTTTATTAGGGAGAATCCCTATCTAGAAGGCCTCCCACCCTTCACCAACCTCTAACCCTTCACTGTTCTTGGTGTTTTGTAGTTAATATGAAAACCAGGTGGTGGTGCAGGTGAAATCTAGAATTATGTCTTGTTCACACATAGCAGGATCTCCATCATTAAGTAAGAAATTGTACCATCACCTGAGCGATAGGAGGAACCCATTCTAAACAACCCACTAAAATCAGTCCAGAAGAATTGTCCTGACATTATTTCCTGTTTCTAATGTAGTTTTCGTCCTATTCATTGTGAGGTGTGGGAAGTTCATATAACCTGTAATGACCTACATAGGCCAGCACTTGGACATGGAAAAGGTGATGGTAGAGGCACATTGGGTTAGGGGGAATTCCTTACATCTTTGATCCTCCCTACTCTCCATAGCAGGCATGCTCTTTCTCTTTTATTATTATTGCTTTGTCTTGTGTCTACCCCAAATGTATTCCTAGTAGTGTAAAAACAGACAAAAGCAAACCGCAGAGCCCAAAACAAAAGCAGATTGACAAAGCACAAGTTCATCAGTGAAGTATTAGATGAAGCATACAATGGAGGAGAAGATGGTGAAAAGAAGGAGAGTGGTAGATTGATATAAAAGGTATGGAATTGGAACATGGCTGAAGGATGGTTGGTAAGTCCGATTCGGGAATGTAAATTATTCTGGTTGTTAATGAGGGCGAGTAGTTTTCATGTACATTTGTTGGCAGTAATTTCATGTGCTGCATTTTTGTGATGCCATTTGTTCCTAGTGATTGGATAGGCTACTTCTCAGTGATGTCACTGGTCTCTAGTGAATGGATAGGCTGCCTTCTCAGGGATGTCACTGATCTCTAGTGAATGAATAGGCTGCATTCTCAGTGATGTCACTGATCTCTAGTGAATGAATAGGCTGCATTCTCAGTGATGTCACTGATCTCTAGTGAATGAATAGGCTGCATTCTCAGTGATGTCACTGATCTCTAGTGAATGAATAGGCTGCATTCTCAGTGATGTCACTGATCTCTAGTGAATGAATAGGCTGCATTCTCAGTGATGTCACTGATCTCTAGTGAATGAATAGGCTGCATTCTCAGTGATGTCACTGATCTCTAGTGAATGAATAGGCTGCATTCTCAGTGATGTCACTGATCTCTAGTGAATGAATAGGCTGCATTCTCAGTGATGTCACTGATCTCTAGTGAATGAATAGGCTGCATTCTCAGTGATGTCACTGATCTCTAGTGAATGAATAGGCTGCATTCTCAGTGATGTCACTGATCTCTAGTGAATGAATAGGCTGCATTCTCAGTGATGTCACTGATCTCTAGTGAATGAATAGGCTGCATTCTCAGTGATGTCACTGATCTCTAGTGAATGAATAGGCTGCATTCTCAGTGATGTCACTGATCTCTAGTGAATGAATAGGCTGCATTCTCAGTGATGTCACTGATCTCTAGTGAATGAATAGGCTGCATTCTCAGTGATGTCACTGATCTCTAGTGAATGAATAGGCTGCATTCTCAGTGATGTCACTGATCTCTAGTGAATGAATAGGCTGCATTCTCAGTGATGTCACTGATCTCTAGTGAATGAATAGGCTGCATTCTCAGTGATGTCACTGATCTCTAGTGAATGAATAGGCTGCATTCTCAGTGATGTCACTGATCTCTAGTGAATGAATAGGCTGCATTCTCAGTGATGTCACTGATCTCTAGTGAATGAATAGGCTGCATTCTCAGTGATGTCACTGATCTCTAGTGAATGAATAGGCTGCATTCTCAGTGATGTCACTGATCTCTAGTGAATGAATAGGCTGCATTCTCAGTGATGTCACTGATCTCTAGTGAATGAATAGGCTGCATTCTCAGTGATGTCACTGATCTCTAGTGAATGAATAGGCTGCATTCTCAGTGATGTCACTGATCTCTAGTGAATGAATAGGCTGCATTCTCAGTGATGTCACTGATCTCTAGTGAATGAATAGGCTGCATTCTCAGTGATGTCACTGATCTCTAGTGAATGAATAGGCTGCATTCTCAGTGATGTCACTGATCTCTAGTGAATGAATAGGCTGCATTCTCAGTGATGTCACTGATCTCTAGTGAATGAATAGGCTGCATTCTCAGTGATGTCACTGATCTCTAGTGAATGAATAGGCTGCATTCTCAGTGATGTCACTGATCTCTAGTGAATGAATAGGCTGCATTCTCAGTGATGTCACTGATCTCTAGTGAATGAATAGGCTGCATTCTCAGTGATGTCACTGATCTCTAGTGAATGAATAGGCTGCATTCTCAGTGATGTCACTGATCTCTAGTGAATGAATAGGCTGCATTCTCAGTGATGTCACTGATCTCTAGTGAATGAATAGGCTGCATTCTCAGTGATGTCACTGATCTCTAGTGAATGAATAGGCTGCATTCTCAGTGATGTCACTGATCTCTAGTGAATGAATAGGCTGCATTCTCAGTGATGTCACTGATCTCTAGTGAATGAATAGGCTGCATTCTCAGTGATGTCACTGATCTCTAGTGAATGAATAGGCTGCATTCTCAGTGATGTCACTGATCTCTAGTGAATGAATAGGCTGCATTCTCAGTGATGTCACTGATCTCTAGTGAATGAATAGGCTGCATTCTCAGTGATGTCACTGATCTCTAGTGAATGAATAGGCTGCATTCTCAGTGATGTCACTGATCTCTAGTGAATGAATAGGCTGCATTCTCAGTGATGTCACTGATCTCTAGTGAATGAATAGGCTGCATTCTCAGTGATGTCACTGATCTCTAGTGAATGAATAGGCTGCATTCTCAGTGATGTCACTGATCTCTAGTGAATGAATAGGCTGCATTCTCAGTGATGTCACTGATCTCTAGTGAATGAATAGGCTGCATTCTCAGTGATGTCACTGATCTCTAGTGAATGAATAGGCTGCATTCTCAGTGATGTCACTGATCTCTAGTGAATGAATAGGCTGCATTCTCAGTGATGTCACTGATCTCTAGTGAATGAATAGGCTGCATTCTCAGTGATGTCACTGATCTCTAGTGAATGAATAGGCTGCATTCTCAGTGATGTCACCGGTCTCTAGTGAATGGATAGGCTGCATTCTAAATGATGTCACTGATCTCTAGTGAGAAGTCTCTGCTCTTTGGTGAATGGAAAGGTTGCAGTCTCAGTAATGTGAATGCTTTCTCTGATAAAGGATATGCTGAATTGGGGTTATTGAAGGTCTGCCAACAAAACAGTGTGACTAACCTATTGCCTCTTGTCTCGGGGCAGTCTATAATGTGAGTACCTTAAATCATGTGGACAGACACAATGTAATGCATCTCAATGTAATGGGATATTCTACTGAAGGATGTAAATCACAAAGATAAAAAGCTGGCTCATAAGATTCTGGTGAGAACTGCAATTCTCAGACTCCGGGTGTCATATCAATTCTGGATGTCATACCAGCGAAGGTTAGTACACTCAATGGCCCTCGGCGAGGTCTGCAGCCTGCAAGTGTCAGCACTGCAGCTTCTATCGGTGGCTTCTGGCCCAGCTATTTAGCTTTGTGAAAGCTTCCCCTTCATGGTAACATTTTACTTCCAGAACAAAACCAAATTATGAGAGGACATTTCTGAAAACTGATAGAACTTTGCAGATGAAGAGATATTGGCCATAGTAACCTCATCTTCCTTTTTCTATTGTTTGTTATGAGAAATGTAAGCTTTGCACATGACTTCTCTCATGCTGCAGCAATAAGATTGGGGGGAGTCCTCTGATATCCAATCAGCACCACCTAGCAAACAACTGGATAATATCACATGGCTACTTTTGGCTTTTTATGGTTACACAGCTATTGCTATTTAAGAATATATAGATATGCAGTGTCTTGCAGTAACCCAATCCAAATTTAGCTTTCAACAGGCTGCAATGGGTAGTGAACAGGGGGGTGATTTCCAGTTGACACCCATTGTACCTCGCATGGTTTGGAAGCACACGAAATTTTGGAAAAATGGGTATTCTGTAATGAAGAGATACTGGGGAGGAGGGGGGGTTAAAAAAATGTAATATTAAAGACCCCCTTAGTTTTACTGCTCACCCTCTTACCCAGGGGGACTGTATACATTTCGCTCAGTGCTGTAATAAGTAAAAGGTGCAGCCCCTGCATCCCTTTAAGTGTCTTAGAAAGTATTACATGAAAAATGAAGCTCCCCTAATTTGACTTCTCTGCCATCTTCTGGGCAAAGAACGTGAGGAGGGAGATGGGGGTTCTAATGGGTTCTATAAGGGACAGTACTTTTGCAACGGTGGCAAGAAAGGGACAATATTTTATGGCAGTTCTCCTCTAGTTTCCTCCTTCAAAAAATTCAGTTTATTACGTAAAAGAGAACTATGGCCCAACCTTTTTTGGGTTACAGGAGGACATTTACTAATCTCGTTCTGTGACACAAAACTCAGCATATAGTGGGCTATTGCCCGCTATTTGCTGAAAACGTAGAGCTACTCTGTAGCCAGGACGGATGCCGACAATATTGTCCGGATCTACCCTTCTGCCTAATTGACAGCTGGTCCTGCCTCTCTAGAGCCAGAGCCAGCTGTGCCCGCCCCCTCCCCTGTCTGTCCCTGCAGTCAGCGCTGGAGGAACAGAGAGGGGATCGGGGAATCCCTGCAGGGAGTAGTGACTGCCAGTCATCGCTCTCTGCAGGGAGAAGATCAGGCACTTAGCGATCAGCATTTTGTGATCGCTCAGTTCTTGATCTATAGAGCCGACGCGTGACAGCTGCAGTTTAAATATGGAGATGAGTGTGTTTCACTCACCCCATAGGCAGGGCTTTCCTTCCTCATGTCAGAGCCTCCAGCAAGGAGAACAGTGAGCAACACAATAGTGACATCAGCGAATCTCACTCCAAATCTCCTGAGTCTAGCAGTCAGGGGCAGCAGTGCCTTAGATCTCACACTCCAGGTACACTGGTATGAACCTGTAGTGAATGGACTGCCTAGGCACCCTCACATAGCAGAAGCAGCAGTTATATTTTTTAGGAGGAATTCAAGACAAAAGCTACATTTCTTCAGTGTATTGCTTAGCTATAATTATCATTTCTAAATTTAGCCTACAGCACAGAAAATCTTCACTTTCTCAATTTAGTTCCACTTTAATTACAGTTACACTTTAAATGAGCCTTTTAGCCCTGCAATTTAGGAAACAAGAAATGAAACAGGATAAACGGATTTACGGTACTTAGAACAGTTTTCAGAAATGTCCCGTTGGATGAAATCTGGATATATTGGCAGAGGATGACGACATGCACCATAGACTGGTCAAGGGGGGTGATGAATATGAGGTCAGTGGTGGCCAGTGACACAACAGGACAATTCTAAGTTGAGGTGGGGGGGATGGGGAGGGGTTCACAGAGTCTCCTCACCCTTGTGTGCATTGAGCAGCGGGGACAGAGTACTGTGGTGCCATACTGTGATGAGCAAAGTCCAGGGCAGAACGATCAGTACAATAGCCAGAATGTCCCTTCTCTTCAGCATCTCCAGGGTGGGCTGACCCCAGTGCTCCTCATTACCTGATGAGGACACCCCGACAGCACAGAGAACAGCAAAAGCAGACAGGAAGAGAGATCAGTATACAGACAGAGAGGAGCAGGAGAAACACAGCACAGGTCAACACAGTCACCTCTTACCAGCGTTCAGAACCCACCCATTGCAGCAGGCTGGGGATTCCAGGCTCTGCCCAGATAGGGGGAAGCCGGTCACAGAGACTGGGGGTCAAGGCCCCTCACTGGCCAGGACTTGGAGATGCACCGCACAGAAGGAAACCTGTATAAGAAGGAAGAGAGAGAAGAAACGTGTGAACACCAGAGAGCACTGTTGGCTAAGAAACCAATATGCGTCTTCCCACTGCATTGCAACAATCCGTGCCATAGTTAAATCCCGACTAGCGAATTAATATAATGACAAAATAAAACCCCGCTCGGCATCTGCACGTTATAGAGTAAACTTAACCAGAAACACAATTCTTTTTCTGCGCGATTACCCAAACTCCAGATCCCTGCACCAAAATAAATCTGGATTTATCCATGGTTTGCTCAGCATTAGGAACCACATTTAGGCAGTGACCATTAAAAGTAATAAGGCACAAATCCTGACCCCCCCGGACCAATATCAATCTGGATTTATCCATGGTTTGCTCAGCATTAGGAACCACATTTAGGCAGTGACCATTAAAAGTAATAAGGCACAAATCCTGACCCCCCCGGACCAATATCAATCTGGATTTATCCATGGTTTGCTCAGCATTAGGAACCACATTTAGGCAGTGACCATTAAAAGTAATAAGGCACAAATCCTGACCCCCCCGGACCAATATCAATCTGGATTTATCCATGGTTTGCTCAGCATTAGGAACCACATTTAGGCAGTGACCATTAAAAGTAATAAGGCACAAATCCTGACCCCCCCCCCGGACCAATATCAATCTAAATTTATCCATGGTTTGGTCAGCATACAAAAACATTATATTCATTTTTAAATGTACATTAGAACATTACATTTATTTTTAAATGCAACTAGGTTATGTACATAAATATGTCTTGATATCAGCTTTCTGTAATCCCTTGCACATAGGGTTGCCATCCTTTTCTTCAAGCGAAACCCGAACACTCTAGCGACACGCTGACATTTTTTGGGAAGAATGAGTCATGGCTTATTCATATGTAAATAGCGCCGTCCATTCATATGTATATATCACAGTTGAGACTATTTTCACTGGGGAGGCCAGTAGCCACTATCTTAATTTTGGTTGCCCCTGTCTGCCTGACATCTTGTGTCCGGGTTTCTGGTGCCATCAAACCCGAACACACAGCACTCAAAACTGGACTGTCCGGGTGAATCCTGGACAGGTGGCAACCCTACTTGCACAGCGGCACTCAGACTGGAAGAGGAAGAGCCAGCTCTAGCAGCCAATCAGACTCTGCCGCAGTGCACATGTTCAGGAACATTTGAATAGGAGGAGAAAACAGAGGGAGGGGATTATTGAGCCATCATCATGCTTCTCTCCTTCATTGTCCAATCAGCAGAGAGGGGGGCGTGTTCTTGACAAGGCTGTGCTAATGCTGCAGCAGAGGTCAGATACGAGTGTGCTTTTGGCAGGCGTGTCTACATTGCAATTATATATTATTATATATATATAAAGGTATTTTCTGAGTGCCCCGGGCAGCACAAATCCATGTGCGGTTTATAAAATGTTGTACCCAGCATTCCCAAAATGTTAAAATGCACAACTCTCTATAGTTGGCTATGACGGGCAAAGAGGCACATGCAAGGCTCATATAGGAATGGAGAGTTCCAAAAAGTTCTGGCTCAGCTTTGGGAGTCCCTGAAACAGGCAGGATAATGTTTACAATGAAAGACGGATATTAATGGGCACATTGAGGTGCCTGCTATCAGGACAAATGCAAATATCGCCTACTTAGATGCAGTAACAGGTTCCTGTTAGGGCTCCATTTTTATTGGACTTTGAAAGCACCTTATCACACATAAAAATTAGATCCAACACACAGTGCAATGCATAGATCATTATCATCTGTGCATTGTGGTACACTATAGCACAGGTACATTGTAACACACTGTCGATGTGTGTTGGGGTTCAGTTGACAATAGACCGCAATGCACCTCAACACACATAGACCGTGCATTGCTGTAACCAGGGCCGGATTTACTCTCTCTGCTGCCCTAAGGCCACGTTCCTCAATCCGCCCCCCTACCCGCCAACCCCCAATAGAGAATGGCAGACCTGCAGGCTGCATACAAGTGATCTCAGCGACATTGTCGAGATCACTTGTACAAAACAAGCGGCGGCTTCCCCGCTGTATATTTAGCTCTGCTTACCCAAAGCAGGGCTCTATGTAGAAAACTACCCGCTCGGCGCCAGACACTGCATGTCCCCGGCATTGGGAGATAGGAATTTCACACCCCTGCCGGGCCTTGGTTGGCCTTGTGGGAAATCCGGCCACAGAAACCCAGAGCCATTTTATCAATACCAATGATATTACTGCTCATTATATCCAATACTTTACATCATGATCATATGGATTCTGAGAGTTGATAACCTGGGACCTTCCAGGGGCAAAACTTTCTAGGGGCAAATGTTCAATACTTAGGACTGGCCCTTGAAATCAGAGCAGCTGTCATCTTTGTAAATGCTCACAGTGTGCCTCAAGTCAGACCCCCCCCTCTGCTCCACTTAGAACATACCTGGTCACACCCATTTATGAGAGACTCCACGCCTGGTCTCTACCAGAAACGCATGCACCGTGCAGGATTATTCTTGGCATGCCAAGATTGGAGCCAGTTGCCAGGGAAGATGTTACTACAGTGTGCATGAAGAGGAATTACATCACCAGAGGTCTTTCAATGGTAAAAGAGGCGCATTGTGCAACTCGGGAGAAGCAGAGTGAGAAATGGTGGTGGTGTCGGACAGGTAAGTATACCATAATGCACACGTATGCTCATTGTGCACATGATGGCCAGAGACCGCCCACCCCAATGCATAATTCAGTTCAGCTTTAAAGTGATCATCATCTGGTCTAAAAAGGTTTTTAAGATAACAAAAGTGCTGAAGTGCCATCACCCGGTACCTGTGTTAATCTTTAAATTAATCCCGGTGGAGCCCCATGGATTCTGGGCCCAGGCTGTACTAGTCAAGATTAAAGGAGAACTATGAGGCGAGTGCTTTTCACTCACCTCATTCTAGCCGACCTGTGACAATGAGACTGTCACAGGTCGGCTCAGTAGATCGGGAGGTGAGCGAACACATACCGGGTTCGCTCGCCTCTCGATCCTGTCACAGCTCTCTGCCGTGACAGGGGAGGGGCTGGATTCCCCCCCTCCCCGCTCCGATCCTCCAGCGCTGACTGGCGGAACGGACGGGGGAGGGGGCGGGTGGACGGATCACGCAGCTGGACGGATCCCGTCATCTAAGTCGGGATCTGTTCCGGCTGCGGCGTCTCAGTATACCGCGAGCTGTAGCTCCCTATATACTGAGCCTAGGGTGACGGGAGGACGCTAGTTTGTGTCCTCCCGTTACCCTAAGGAGAACTATGGGGAAAAACACTGACCCCATAGTTCTCCTTTAAGCCCTGCTCCCTCCTAGTACTATGCCACCTGTCAGTCAACTGTCAATTGCCAGAATATTAGTAGACAGCAGTGACTGCTGAATGAAAGGCAGGACTTAGCATTCAGATGGGCGGGACTTAATCTTGACTTGGTCACAAGTCAAGGCCCCATGTATAGACCTAAGCGTAGGATCCTAGTAGGCTCCAATAGATACTTTAGGACAGGGGTGCCCATTAGGTAGATCGTGATCTACCAGTAGCTCATAGCCATGGGAGAGAGCAAGGAGAGAAAGCCAGGGGAGAGAGCAAAGAGAGACAGCCATGGGAGAGAGCAAAGAGAGACAGCCAGGAGAGAGAGGAGAGACAGCCAGGAGGATGAGCCAGGAGAGACAGCCAGGAGGATGAGCAAGGAGAGACAGCGAGGAGAGCGAGGGAGTTTTTTTTTCCGTTGGTAGATCTCATGTAGCTCGTCATTTGAAAAGTAGATCTTAACACAAAAATAGTGGGCACCCCTGCTTTAGGCAATAGATACTTTAAGACCATTTTAGTACAGGTTTACGCTAAGGTTTCACCTCTCTTTGGTGTATGTGCTTATTATCGCTCATATGTGACATTTGCAGCCAGATGTACCCAAAAAAAATCTGACTTTTCTTCATACAACAACCCTGACACCACCATTTGCACATGAAACAAACATATCTGGTTTTCTGTTCACACAAAAGGAACGTCCGGCTTCACCAATACAGGACAATGTGATATTTGATGGTATGGTCAGGCAACGAGCACTGAAACACAAGATTCCAGAACCTCAACCGCATCATTGTTCTTAAAACTACAGTCGCTGCATAACATCAGTAGAATGAAATGAGTGCCGATGTGAGACGCTATTCTCCTCCGGCATGAATCATTGATGAGCCCATACTGTATATACAGTATCTGCAAACTCAGGAGACCGACACACTATATAGAGAGAGAGGTAAAGCATGTCCATTCGACCTGCCATACTGCGCACAACGCCTCGCCTGCAGCGTGATTATGTGAAAGCCCTGCAAAGGAAAAATACGGCTGTTGGCAGCTATACTCCAACTCTCATCAGAATTCTAAAAATGATATTTACCATCATGTACATGTAGCACCAACATATAGTGAACCAAACTAACTTGCGCTAACGGAAATAGTAAAACTAAATTAAGATGGATTAAAATTTAAAATAGATATTAATATGACCCCAGAGCTAAAATTTCTAAAACCAAAAAGGAAAAAAGCTGCTGAACTCAGGCTAAAAGCCTACAGAATAATGGTGTAATGAAGTGTACAGCGCTAAATGCCCTTCAGGAAATTAGATAACGGTAGGGATCATATGGTGTCACCTCTGTGTCAAGCAATCGTGAAACAGTGTATATATAATAAATATTTGTGTAAAAACTTATAGTACGTTATAAAATGTGTCAGCAGGTGTCATAAAAGGCGTGTCATACATGAACCTTATTAAATAAATAAACAAAAATCCTCAAAGAACATGTGTCATATATGTGAAAAAAATATTATTGTGAAAAAAATATTAAATAAATAAATAAACACCAACATATAAACTGGCCATGCACCCTAAGATTTCTCTCACGAACATGAGGAATCAATTGATTGCCCATCCACACCAAACAGCATGGATGGAGGAATCTCCCCTGCTGGCCATTGTATAGAGCA